CTTTGGAGCTCATTTCACGAGATTTTTGGTGGCCCCAAATGTGGAAGGATGTGAAGGAATTTGTCCTTTCTTGTGATGTTTGTTCAAGATCCAAGATCCCTCGACATCGTCCGTATGGACTTCTCCAGCCATTGCCTATTCCGCACCGACCATGGTCTTCAGTTTCTATGGACTTCATTACGGACCTACCGCCATCGAATTCATTTAACAGCATCTTTGTTGTGGTAGATCGATTTACCAAGATGGTGCATTTCGTGCCTTGCAAGAAAACATCATCAAGTGAAGACACCGCAAGACTCTTTCTTAATAACATATATCGTTATCATGGCCTACCAGATGATATCGTGTCGGATCGAGGTACTCAGTTTGTATCCAAGTTTTGGAGGTCCCTCTTTGAGATATTGAAGGTGGATATTAAGCTCTCTTCGGCTTTTCATCCTCAAACTGACGGTCAAACGGAGCGAGTGAATCAAGTTTTGGAGCAATATTTACGATGCAGCATCAACTATCAACAAGATGATTGGACTGCATATCTACCGCTTGCTGAGTTTGCATACAACAACACTCTTCATGCGTCAACTCAACAAACACCATTCTTCTCCAACTACGGATACCACCCCAAGCTCGATTTATTGAGTTCTTCAGCAAATAACAACCCAGCAGCTGAAGGATTTGTGAAGCAACTATCGGAGCTTCAAGCGACGTTGAAGCTTCAATTGCAATCTGCCCAAGAGAGTTACAAGGCATCTGCAGATAAATATCGAAATGAGGCGCCTACTTTTAAAGTTGGAAGTAAAGTATGGCTTCTTCGACGGAATATCAAGACCAAGCGGCCATGTGACAAATTGGACTATCGGAGATTAGGGCCATTTGTTATCGGGAAGCAGATCAATCCGGTGGCATATCGTCTGGAGTTACCAGCTACTATGAAGGTACATCCAGTCTTTCACGTGTCTTTGTTGGAACCTTATCGAGAGTCAGCTTTTCCCCAAAGAGTACAAAGTCCGCCACCAAGTATCGAAATTGAAAACCATGAGGAATACGAGGTGGAAAAGGTACTAAATTCACGGCGTAATAGGAGAAAATTGGAGTATTTAGTGCATTGGAGTGGATACGACATCAATGAACGAACGTGAGAGCGTGCCGAAAATCTTGCCAATGCGCTAAAAAAGGTACAAGAATTTCATCAACGATATCTTCATAAACCTAAGCCGATTCAACGATAGCTTCTTGCTGAAGCTTGTTCATCAGGTAGCATAAAAAGGGGGGAGGGCACCTCCAAAACCCATAGTTCGATAGTGTAGAACTTTGTTAACAACTATAGTTTGCTCTCATCATTTTAGCCTTTGGACATGGATAGTCAAGATACTACACTTGTTATGTCATCTCAAGCGACTAGCTCACAAAGACGACCGCGAGATGAAGAACCGCTTGTACCATGACGACGTCGGAGAATACCGAGCAACAGATCGCTAATAATTGTAGTTGAAGTCGAGCCTGCCTACGACGGTCAGCTAGAAGGTGTGTTTGGAGGACAGTTTCACAATGAAGACACAGAAGTCCACGCTTGGTCAGAGGTTGAAGGTGTTGGTCACTACCGTTGGCTCCAAGGGCCGATGAATCATTTGCCTCGCGAACAACAATTGGAATTCATAGCGGATGTGATACGACAAATTTTCATTTTCTTGCGTTGGTATTGACTGATAACAACATTGCTTCTCGGAGACCTCGAAGCTACAAGAGGAGGTGATGTCATGGACATACATTGGAAGATTCTTCAAATATTCTTCTAGAATATTCTCTAAAGATTCTCTAAAGATTCCTTTAGAAAGTTCTAGAAGATTCTTAGAATATTCCATAAAGATTCTCTTAGAAGGTTCTAGAATATTCTTAGAAGATTCTAAAATATTCTGATAGATTCTAGGAAGTTGCTTGAGAAGTTTCCTAATTAGTAGAAGTTGTTGGAGAAGCGTCCTAGTTAGCGGAAGTAGCTCGAGAAGCTTCCTATTCAATAGTATATATAGGAGTCGAGGCTGAAGGGTTCTTCAGTCTCGATAACACATCTCTTGGAGTTCTAGCTCACCTTTCTGGTGTTGTTCTTGTACTCATCTGATTAATCCGGTTCTTCTTGAACTTCTTGTCTAGTTTTCTTGTCTGTATTTTGTATCCGTGACACTAGGACCAAGAATCATGTTTGTAAAAATCAATGAATGGAAGTTGTCTTCTAAGGTAGCAACCACAACCTATAAATATTGGGTGTTGGAAGTGAGAGATATCTTAATCCATACTCTCTTTGTGTACAACCTTGTTGATGCTATGTGTTGTGACTTCAAAGTTCTATTTCTTCAATAACCACCAATTGTACTTAATGACCAATAAGAATATGAAGTGGTCAATATTTTGGACCATCACTACCTTTGCCATTGCAATAGATGTGTACAACTTCAGTGCAAAGTTCTTTAGAAAGGTTATTCTATTTACAATACAACATAGAAATGTGCACAAAACCTCACCTATTGCGAAGAGACAATTTAAAAATACTATTGGAAGGAAAATGAGGTTGTTTTACATTAGTAGAGGGAAATTAATTGTAACATGGTATAGATAAGATAATTGTATAGTGATAGATAGTTAAAACCATAGAAGTTTTTAGAATTGGCATTAAATTAATAGATGAAGTAGGACCTACCATAGAATATTTGAGAAAAGACTTAGGGTAGTTATCTAAGAAGGGCCTACCATAGAACCTTCTATAAGGAGGTTAAGGTGGTTATTTAAGTAGAATCTACTATTTAGGAATATTTTAGAAAGTCCACGATAGTAGAACAAAATATAAATAGGATTGGCCAAGGCCTTTTGGGGTAGCTGGTAAAGTATAGCTTTAGGCCCTTTCTCTTAATATAATTGGATTTTATATCTCCTTGTTTTCTTTTGCTCTATCTTAATTTCGGTTGCTTTGTTTTGTCTTTCATATCCCTTTCTATTTAGTTCTATTTAGTTTTATTCAGTTTTTTTCTAGTTCAGCTTGTTTTATCTTATGACGAGGTTTTATATTGCTGTGGATTAGAAGGGTCTTCGACTTCTGAGATAGACCAATCTTGTTTCAGCAAAGGTCTTATAGAGGGCATACAATTGATCTTATCCATCTAATTCTTAAAGAAATTATTTAAAAAATACTAGCATCTTAATATAAGAGTTTGCATCTTAATTGTAAGACTTAGTGGCCTTGTTAGAACTAGTAGCACTTACTAGGCTGGTAATATACCACTTAAAAGCCATGTCTATTGCATATATTTTAATCGGTCTCCACAATGCTTAATGCCTTGTTTGTAATATTGATTAGGGATCCAAGAAGTTCATCAAGTTGGAAGTTAGTATCTTTGATTTCTTATATTTTTTATTGCACTCAAAAATAATTGAATTTTCAAACTCCACATACATATTAATGTGACATGTTGGAAGTGGAGGCTAAGAACAATAAGAATTAGGAATGGAAGAATGGAGGGATGAAAGACAGAGGGAAAGAGAGAAGATGAGGATGAAGGCTAAGAACATAGGACGTCAAAATAAAAGTTGAAAACAAATAGGGCTAGGGCAAAGAATGTAGGGGATTGGGAAGACAATTAAAAACAAAAAAAATAAGTGTTAGAAATGATGGAGGTTTGGATGAATGCCTTGATTCTAATGATGGTTTTTGAAGATGATCTATTTTTTTAATAATTGTTATAACAAAATAAATTTATTTAGTAAATGGGTAGACAATTTTAATATATATATATGTTGCTTAGTTACTATATAAATTTTTTATCTTAACATTATCTATATATATATATATATATATATATCTTAGTATGTAAATAATACATATGTATTATTTATTTTATTTTTTCTAATATTCTTGTAATTTTGGTCTAAATTTTTAATATTTTAGATCAAATTTTTATTTTTTTATTATTTTGTGTTATTTTAAAATTATTATTAAAAAATTAAAAAATATTTTTCTTTATTTTTGACAAACTATGAAAAAGTGAGTTTTTTTTTTCTTCTTTTAATCATCTCTATTGACTATTATTAATACTTAGCAAGAATGACAATGAAATATACTTTATTTTTTGTTACTAGAAATTATAGCTAATTAGATTGTAGAATGTTTTTGTTTTTAGTCTAGCTATTCTAACACTTTTAAACTATCTATTATATTCTAATATTTTTCAAAAACTTCTATAAGTTTGATAAACTAAGAAAAAAAGGAAAAAAGAAAAGAAAAGAGGTAAGCAAAGAATATTAAAATCTCAAATCCTAAATTCAATATATATAATAAGTTTTAGTATTATATCTATTAGTTTAAAAAAATTATCATCTAATAATTATAAGCTTAGATAGAAAGAAGACAATACATTTAAAAGAACAAAAAAAGAAAAAAGAAACAAAGTAATCAGTTACAACATTTATTACAATGAATTAACTTAATAAATGTTAATATAGGTGACAATGTTCAAAAGTATCCTCTTATTTCAAAACTTTTTTTTTTTCCAAAATAATTTTGTATGTGTGTACTTATGTAACGAATGGTAAAACGAAAATACTAAAAAGTTTATGTTCTAAAAATATAATAAAATATTTATAAGAATATTTGAAAAAAATTAAGAATCAAAATAAAAAGAAATCATTATGATTTAAATTCTTTGAAATAATCATGCAAAAAATTAAATTAAATTAAATTAAATATATCTCATTTAAATCAAGAAGATTTCATGGTCAAACGTACAATAATCAATGTCTAACTAAACACTCCTTCATTTACACAAGTACTCAAAATGAAACTAGTGTAAAAAACATGAATCTTCTCCCCCTGAATTTAACGTATGTATTAATTTCTACTAGAATATGGGCCATTCAAATCCTATCTCCAAGAGCCCATTCGTGTAGGATGAATGCACAATTTGCAATTAGTGAACACCATATCCCACAATCAATTTCAGTCAGTTCAACGAGGCATGGGCAAAGAAACGTAACACTTGTGTCACAAGAGAACATATAATTAATGTGGACCAGGGTAATTCCGAGACAGCCAGACGTTGCAATTCAGTGGGAGATATTATCCAAGTGGCTTAAAAATAAAAGGCAAAAATTGTGCTGGATTGACAAATGAAAAAAGGATTTGAAAATATAGAACTCAGGAATGAACAGGTTGTCGGATTCAGGATAGAGTGAGCAATCGTGGCATGATACAAAATCAGAGTGGAACTTAAGTGGAAATAGCAAATCCTACACAGCTTTTCAGAAGCATTAGATGGGGGGCTTGGCTCGTGAGAGAGAGAGAGAGATGGTAGACTACCAGAAAAGAAGCTTAGCTTGGACTCTGAGGGAGAAAGGTTGCCTAACTCTAAGCCGAATTTACACAAGGATTCCGTGGACTTGTCGAGGTTATGGTGGACTCTACTACAAATCAAATCAATGGTGGGTGTATTTACCGAGTAATCAAAATGTATGTACAGTTGAGAGAAGATAGTTAGAGATTAAGTTGATTAACGAGAGAGATCTCCTAAAACGCCTTCCATGAAGTGGAGGAGGGCGAGGCTGCCAGCCCAAATGTCGTCGTCCTGGACGTGCTCAGCGGGCGAGTGGCTCACACCACCTGTACACCTCAAAAAGAGCATACCCACCTGCAAATTCCCATAACATATGCAAAGTTTGTATGAGTCAAAGGGGTAAACTTAGATGAAGAAACGCGCCGAAACAGAATCTGAGAGCATGAGTTATGTAAAGAAAATTTGTTTATAGAAATCGGGCTCGAGGTCCAACCTGAGTAAGGGAGGCCATTGCCATTGCGTCGTGGCCAGCGCCGCTAACTAATGTTGGAGCTGTGAATCCACCATCATCCAGTGCAGAGACGTTGTTGCGAAATGGCGGCAATTCTTTCATTGCTGCTTGGGCAGCAGCGTGGAGCCGGTCGTTCAATCCTGGTGCACACGCTATTGCGTTCGCCTCATGCTGCAAAAATCCGCAGGACAAATTATGCTTGGATAGACACGTACACATAATTTGAGTAGTTGATGTCGAAGAGCAGCTGGTTCACTGTTCAATATTCAACATTATATTACATGATATTTTTTCCAAGTTTTCCAAGACATGGGTGCACTATTCAATGCACTATAAAGTGTCTATCTGTTGGCAGAGTTTCAGTATCTGTAGATACCTTTCTCTCTATGCTGCATCTGACACCACGTTTCCGGCAGATCTTGTGAATCCCACCCTCAATCCGCACCACATTCGTCTCACGATCTGAGTCATCCTTGGATCTCACGTCGATGGTAAACATCACCTGAACATATGTAAACACTTTACGGTTAGCGTACTAAAAACCCATCAGATATTGCAATAAGTTAACTTGCATTGAGCTTGACTAACTTTGTGACCACTTTATTCTGTTCTGTAAAGTACGACGGATGAATTTAGACTTTATATGCATACCTCTCCAGGAATGACATTGCTAGCCCCAGGCCACGAGTGAATCTCACCAACTGTGCACACAATTGCGCCTGCATGGTTGACGGCAGTGGACATAGCAGTGGCACCACGGCTGCCGCCAACACCCTTCTCAGGGTGTGTGCAGATGTTCTCAATGGATACAATAGACTGCGCTGCTGCGATCATGGGGTCCTTGCGCATGGACATGGGAACAGTACCAGCATGCCCTTGAGATCCATGCACTCGAACTGTCAAACGAGTTTGGCCGGCTATTGCTTCAACAACCCCTAAGGGTAACCCATGGGCCTCCAGCACAGGTCCTTGCTCAATATGCAGCTCGACATAACCCCACACAGAGGCTGGATTGTACTTCAAAGAGGAGACGCTCTCCGTTGTTCCAAGGTGTGACGCCGCTCGTAGTGCAGCTCCAATTGAAATGCCTCTGCTTGTAAAAATCTACACCTCAGTCTCTACGCAACGAAGTCCCAGTATGAACAGTATTGATCAAACTGCTCTTATGAAAACTGTTGAATTGGAGCCACTTCATTTCCGCAATGGCACTATACTCTACACTTCGTTATACTGAGGTGCTACTTCAGGTACTACTTAAGTAGATGAAATATTCATGACAAGCTCCACGGAACCAGCAATAGTGACAAGGTTGAGGCAACACCTTGCATCCACGTTTTTCAAGTGCTTGGGTTGGAAAGTCCCGGCGACAGCACTGCTGCCCAGAAACGTGGTCTGAAACCGAATTCCCTCTTCGTCGCTAAACGCAATAATCTGGAAAAGATCAGCAAAGTTTGTTATTTGAAAGCCACAGACGTTGCACGAAACCGACTCATAGAGGGAAAAAAAAAAAAAAAAAAAAAAAAAAAAAAAGGCTCAGGGCGTTGGAAAGTAACTAACCTCGATGGGACGAGGAAACTGATGCAATTTCCCCTCAACTTTCAGAACTTTCACTGCTGCAATTGCTGTCACGATACCCAGTGCTCCATCATACCTTCCTGCGTCGATCACCGTGTCCTATTGAGCCAATGCAGGTACTATGAGTGAGAGTGGCACTGTAACCAGTTTCATGCGACCACTTCCTAGGATGCGTATTTAACGATGAGCTGCAAAATATCATTTTCAGGAAAGAAATTGGGAGGGGGAACAGATGATTTGCAACTATGACGTACCATGTGGGAACCTAGGAGGAGCGCAGGAGCAGTGGCATTGGCTCCATCAGAACGACCATGAACATTCCCCAGCTCATCTTCCCATCTACAAAAAATCCTCCGAAAGACATGTCATAACCTTATAACTCAATTCCTGTAACTCCCCAGTCCGACACTCTCATACCTAGCACAGTTTCGCACCATGGTATACACAAATGAGCGTGAGAGTTCCCAGGGCTTACGTTCTGAGGCCAGCGTCTTTCATCCACACTGCAAGAAGACGGCCCGCTGCTAAAGCCGCTGGGCTCAAGAAAGTTCTTTGGAGAACGTCCTTAGAGTCACTCACCTGTGAGTCAAAACCAAACCAGCTTGAATTTACAATAAGTAAGCAAGACAAGTTGCTTGACCTGACGGACAACAACTATAAACGTGGAACTGGGAAGACTATGAAGGCTGCGGATGGAGGTTAATGTTGGTGCTGAAAAGCAAAAAGCACTCTCGCTACAAACCCAGAAGATGAAATTAGACAATGCTGTGGACCAAGCCGAAACCAAAAGCAACTTACGTTGCCGAGCTCCTTTAGCCTGGCAGTGACTTCGTCACGCAGAATGTTCCTGTGGCGCATACTATTGAAGCCAGGGAAGCCATGTCCTACACAACCCAAGTTCCTCGTCAACAAAATCGCCACTGAAAGCGTGACTACCAGGTGGCGGTGGAAATCAGGAGTGCGAGCTGCGGAAGAACACGTGAACTTGAAGCAAGCAAAGGGCTAAGTTCTACCTGGTGAGACGAAAGGTTGAGGGACTGCGTCTGCAAAGAACGCCGTCACGGAGCAGGTCTGAAGTAATGTTGTCACGAGGATGATTGCAGCAACGTAACAAACGACACAACCCTTCTTCATTACCGGTTTGAAAGTCTAATTATCCGCTCCCTGAGCGCAACCTCAAGGACCCAGAAATGGATCCCTCGAAACAACTTCAAACCACCACACGTGAAATCTCTTGTTCCGTCAAAACAAAGAATTTGACAGGCATATGAGCACTTGAGACCGCCTGGATCTGGTTAGCAATTCGCTCCGAATCGCTTATCTTGGGCACTAATGCTCAAATTCGCACTCCTTCCCCCTCCCCAAACAAACAACATCCCCTTCAAGCTTACTCGTATGCAGTACGTTGCTGGTACTGGGTTGTAAGCAGGAGGTCGCGGGAGCGTGGTGGCCTCATGCAAATGAACTGAATCGTGGCGGTGGTGGGCAGTCCGCTGCTGGGGCGAGTTCGACGTCCCCCCAGACACGCATTGAGATGCCAAAAGCTCAGCGTGGCAACGAAAGCTCATGCAGATCCAACTGCTGAGTGCTGAGTGAAACGGGAGCGCGACGCGAGATCCTTTTATGAGCAGACGGGTCTTCTACAGATTCCGAACAAACCCTTGGAAAAAAATGCTGACGGCTCCAGATTCGCCGTGGAGACCTGGCCAGGATAAATAATTACGATCACATGGGCCCACCAAAAGATTTTACTGCGGGCAGCATCTTGCTATGGTCTGTTAGAGTGGCCTCTTAGATCAACACCAACACCACTGGTTTTGGTACTGAAGAAAGGGACTCAATCGCCCCTGTCTGTCCCCCACCCCGATCTCCCGTGCCGCTCCTAATTCGGTCCAACTGCATTCCTTCCAAATCTGTCGGCGAGGCTGCTCTCCAAGAGACACCTTCAGCACTGGATCACCGAGATTTCATCCCCGCCATAGGTTCAACACTGCTGGAAAAAATGGTACTATTTTCTGATTGCTGGGCCTTTTCGGTATGATTCAAGGCCCATTTCTTTTCTGTTGACTCAATGAACACTAAGTCCTGGTGATTCAAAAGCGTCCACACACCAGCTTCTAGTGCTACCCATTGACAAACTTGATCCATTTGCACCGCAACCACCAGCAAAATCATCAGCAATGACATCAGTGTGTGATTATGGGAAAATGAGTTGGGAGATGGCCTTGAATCCCGGCTCTAATGTAGACCCACAAAGAGAGAGAGAGAGATTGCCATCTTCTCATATTTAGACACATTCATTTCCCCCGATTGCATTGCTCTCCCCTCTCAGTGTGTGTGTGTGTGATTCGCCAAAAAAATGGGAGTTTGTCTAGTCCCCCAACAGCAGCATTCCTTTTGCTGTTGGGATCCTCCTCGCTTGCTTGCTTTCCGCAGCGTGACATTTGATCTCTTTTGTGGATCCACTATTGTGGGGTCATGCTCCGATGTTCATGCTCTTTGGGAAAAGCATTCCTTTCTCCCTCTTGATGCTGTGGTATGTGTATATGAATGTGTGCGTGTGTCTATATCCATATATGCGTATGTATGTACATATGTATATATATAAACACACACACACACATGGACACACACACAATTACTAAGCCTGCCAATGAAAACACTTTTAGAAGTTCAAACAATTTCTTTGACTCTTTAAAAATGGATTTTTGGTGTGTCATGTGACGTGGGTTTTGGCCTTGATTTTAATAGTGCATAGTCAATCGTCCTCTATTTGTTGAAAAGAAAACATTTATATTTACATGTATTTTAAAACAATTATGAAGATTATATTCAATATCTAAGAGTTTATTTTAAATAATTTGGTTAATTTATTTCTTATTAAAACAATTTATAAAAAATTATATTATTGTAACATTTATTTTATTATATTTTAATAATTATAGATTATTTAAGTTTTTATTTAAATAGTTTATTTATTTTTGTGAATTAGTTACTTCATAAGCAATACTTTCATGTCATTCTTACAATCCTATCTGCTTGTTTTTTCTACTTGAAATTTTAACCATACCATATATGAATTATGTTTTTCTAGATTTTCTAGTAAAAAAATTAAATATAAATATTTTCTTCAAATTAATATTTTTTTACATATTTTTTTACATATTTTTTTTACTAAAGAATTAATAAATTTTTAACAAATATGAAATTACTAAGATCTTAGACTTTTCTATACCAAATCAACAAACAAATAAAAATGTACTATAGAAATTGGTATACTATAGAAATTGATGTATAATCTTAGATGTTCAAAAGAATAATGTATGTTTCTAACTTGTCGAATTGAACAAAAAAACGAATTTGATTATTCTCTTGTATAGTAACCAAAAGCTTTAAACTTTTCATGATTAGTTTTGAATAAGAAAGAAATCAAAATCATAAAAAGAAAAATTAAAAAATAAAAACTAAAAAGTAAATTTTAAAACCTTTTAAATACTATTGAATTTTTTTTTAATTATATTTCTTAATATCTTGAAATTAAAGTCAATGAAAAAAATTTAATTCTAAAATAATTAAAGAGTATTTTGAAGAAAACATTTTCTTCTCTATCCTTATAACATCTTAAATTAAAATTTTAAAATTCTTAAAATGTTATCTCATGTCAAGATATGTAGTTAAAAGTTCCATGTCTATAATTGAGCTAGCTCTAAAGTTAATGCAATATAAAGGATCTATTGGCTATTAAAGACCTATAAAACTTTTTGAAGAGAATTTTGATATAATTCATGGTTATAAGCTCTGATAAATCTTATAACTACTTTTAACAAAGATTTATGGTATTGCATGAAATATTAAAGGTGACCAAATAAAAATGGTAAAAATACTTATCATAGTTACTTGTATATCAATAATTTTTTGCACACTTAAAAGCTTTTGTAAACTTAGAACTTATTGCTATGACTTGATTTGTACTTCTCCAATCAAATCTTTGTTCTTAGCATCTTTCAAAGAATCAATTATTGCATGCAATGGCTTAAGCAATAAATTGCTCCAATAAGTCTATTCTTGAGATTTTTAATAATAAATCTTTGACATTATCTTTCAATCTATATTGAAATTAATTAATAAGGGCTTTGTCATTTCAATCCACATTGGAAGCAAGGTTTTGGAATTCTATAATATATATGGTGGATGAACATGATTCTTATTGTAAAAATAAGAGTTTATATTATCTTTTTTTTTATCATTTTTTTTCAAATGTGGCCATAAAGACTTTTAAGAATGAATTAAGATCATAAAAAAATCATGAATCTTTTTCTATCAAAGGTGAAAATCAAGAGAGAGCATTCTTAGATAGAAGTACATCTTTAAATCTCACTTGAATAAATCCATCAAGATTTTGAGAAGGATGCAATTTTAAAAAGATTTTTACTTGTTGTAAAAATTCTTAAAATTTTGATCTTCTTATGTCAAACTTCTCTAACATACTTATCTATGCTTCCTTCATACTTAAAAAAATAAGGCTTCTTACATTCAATTGTACCTTAATCTGTTTGCATCTCTCAATTGTATAATTTCTTGGTATAGACTTTGAACTTCAATAGAGACTTCTTCCATAGGCATAGAAATAATACATCTATGATTAATGTTAGAAAAATATGAATTTTTGACCATAAGGGTATTGACAAGCGTGTAAAGATTTGCAATAGTTGTAAATCTATTTTCACTTCTACCTTAAATAGTATCCATGATTTTTTCTTCTATAGACAATTCAAATAAATTTACAAGTCAAATTAGATGAGAGTAATCCACAATCTCTAATACCAAACAAAAATTACTACCTAAAAGAATAATCCACTTTATTTCAGAAAAACAATCAATACTTTAAAAATTAAAAGTTAATTTAAATGTAAAGAGTTGTTATGGACATACATATTTATTCTAATAATTACTTAAGTAATGTAAATAAGTTGAAGTAAATTAAAAAAAATGATTGATTTCATAATATCTTCTAAACAAGCTTCTTAAAAGCTTCATTAACATGATTTCATCTTTATACATATTTATAATTGATTGATAGGTTAGAAATTTGGCCAATAAAATAAACATATATAGTACGTATTAGTAACTTGTGGTATAAGCTAATAATATGATACACATTTAAAAACTTACCTTACAAATTAAAATATGTATCTTACAAATTGCATACGCATTGGAGGTCCGATAGAATGTCGCCACATAGCTCTTAGATGGATAATATATATAGAAGTAAGAAAAAAACCATCTTTATTCTTTTCAACTTCTTTCTTGCTTTTAGTCTAATTTTGATGATTTTTAGTTTTTTTAACTTTTAGCAAAAAATATTCTTATTTTTTTAATGTATATATTTTTTATTTTAACATCTTTTTTTAGAAAAAAATTACTTATTTGTTTGCCTTCATCAAGTTCTTATCCTTGATAGATTGACAAGAATTCATTTATAATATCAAAGCTTTGTTTCTTCTTGATTAAGAATGGATTATTCATTTTTCTTGATGTAACATAAGTGTATTAGAAGTTCAAATTATCTTCTTCTAAATTGATATTTTTATTAGAATTTTTTTTATTTTCTAGTCTTTTCATCTACTTATCTTGAGAAATATTTTAAATCTTTTTTTCTATTGTATAATCATAGAAAAGCTTATTAAAATAAAGAATGCAATAGCACAAATACAAGAAAAATTGAGAGATTTGATGCTTACTAAGCATCAACTCAATTTACTACTGTAAGGAGCAACAAGATTAGTACTTAGTTAAGATTAAGAGATGATTGGAGTTGCTTTAACATCCACACCAAATCATGCTACTTTTCCAATGGTTGAACATTGTTCAAGCATTAAAGAATCAAAAAATTGCTTTACTTAAAAAGTTTGATAGTACAAGGTCAAAATTGTCAATCATTAATTTAAGTAATTAATTTTGTTGAAAAGTGTGACAAAAAACTTTTGAATTTTAATTCAAGAATTGTAGAGGTAGGCCTCAATGTTATTTCAATTTAATGGCAATACCAATATCTTTTCAATACATATATTTGGAAATAAATAATATATAAATTGATGCAATATGTTTCAAGTTTCTCACTTAATATAAAAAGACTTATTGTCATTAAGAAGGATTGTACTTATATTATATAGAATCTAAGCTTATAACTCAATATTATCTAAAGAAGCGATACAACCATAAAATAAAGAGTATAGCTATGAAAAAAGATAATATGTTAAAAAAAAAAAATTATCTAGCTACAATTAGAATTGTGAAATTGGAACCTTGTATAATATTTAAAAAAGGTTATATTTTCTCATGAGAATCCTCTCTTTGTTTTACAATAGATATTAGTTTAGGGCCTAAACATCAAAAAGCCTCTATCTTGCTAGATTTAAGAGCCTCAACGTGTTTCTTAATTGAAGAGTTTGTTAAAAGACATAACATATCTTGAAAGAAAAAAATTATATATGTTCATGTAGAAGTCATAGATGGTCATCTATTATCTTCTAGAGATATTATTCATGAAATCTTCTTATAAAAGTAGCAATTAATAATCATAGTAGCTTTTAAATATTTAATATTATTA